CTGCTTGGAATGAACAACCCCCAGAGCCTTCTGCCAGCTGTCCATGCTGGAAAAAGGAGAGCATGGGAGGAGAAGGCAAAGTCACCAAGGCCCAGCAGCTGGCTGGGAAGAGGTGGCCCTGGCAGGTGTGTTTCCTTGGATGTCTCTGTATCCATGGGAAAGGAACACTACTCCTTAAAAAGAGATGTTCTGCTGTGATGGAACTAGTGTTCAAGGTTTGGATGAGAAACACTTCCAAACTGCCAATAAGGCTTCAGTTCCTGTTGCTGAACGATGCAGTTTGCACCCAGGAACTGATTTCCAGCATTCCAAGCAGCTCATTGTTTCCATTTACCTTTGCTTCCCAGTAAAAGGGAATGAACTAGGCAATGAATGCCAGGAATGGCTGTGGAAGTGCCCTTGGAATGTAAAGCCATCAGATAGCCCATGGCAAGCTGATGCAGCTTGGGAAATACACTGCCAGGAAAACCAGATATGGGAAAGTGCGCATAAAAAATGTCTAAGATTCCTTAACAGGGAGGATTTTCAGATGGATAAGGAAAAGCTCTGGAGAAAAGAGGGCTGGAGCCTTCCATAAGGGAATCTGTTGGGATAACTCTTCCCACTGAGTCACTGAGTCTATCTGTTCACTGTAGCAAAGGAGCCAGGATGGCATTTACCTTTTTCCTCTCACTCGCTCTCCTGCCTCCACTTTCCTTCCTCTTTTCCACACTCCCCCCAGGTCTATGCCATGGCCTGGCATGGAAGTGATGATCCAGGACAAAGGAATTCTCTCTGAGCCTTGATCCCATGGAGCAGCCAGGTGAGAACTGGCATTCCAGTGCCTCCCAGCAAACACCCAGGGGTGTGAGCAATTAACAGATCAGGTGGCAGTGACAGGTTTGGAATCACAGCATTTCTCCATAGGGATTTAGGACAATTCCCCAGCAACAAGTCTGTCTGTTCTGCCCCAGAACGGTTGGGCAGGGAATTCCACCCCTGGAACAGCAGCAAACATCTGGCATTTAATCCCAAGTCTATTTCTAGTAGAAAGCCAGGGAGTGTGGACAACCCTGACATTCCAGGGAAGGCCAACACACTTCCACAGGCAAAACTCCACCAGAATCAGAGCTCTGGCACTGAGCAGGATGAGCCTCACAACCTTGGCACAGCATCTCCCAACAGGGCACAGGTCAGCAACTTCCCCTTCACAGGGAATAGGGCTCTGGCTGGTTTGAACTGGGAAAACACTCCATAAACCCATCAAATGTGGAGTCTGGAATTCAGGAGTCACTTGCCAACCCCCAGCCACGTGTACAGAGAGAACTGGGGGCAAATGTGTTTATTTAAACTCTGAAGAGGAAACAATAAAAATGTTCATTTGGAGAATGTAAATTCCTGACATACCCTCTGCCTTCCAGAGTTCTGGGACAGAGGAGAAAGGAACAGTTGGACAAACCCACTGGAGCCAGGAGATGGTGTGGAATGTGGAACATACTGCAGGGACGTGGGGAATCCTTTCACCAACAGAAGCAGCTAAAGCTAAATGAGGCTTTTGGCAACACACACTAATTGCAGGGAAAGATCATTCCTTCAGGATTTTCTGGTGCTTCCATCTTGGAGGAATTCAGTTTTCTTCATCAGAGGAGAGACCTTCAATCTCATCTCTGTCTCCTCCAATCGCCATCCAGAAGGCTTTGGCCACCTACAATGGCAAAAGAGGTGGGAGAGAATTCCCATCAAACAGTTGGAGAGTTTGTGTTTCCTATCGAAAAGCAGCAGCAGAGCAGCAGGTGAGTGTGGTAACCACGTTTGTCCATGCACTGCTCATGCTCCCTGAGGTTAAGGAATTCCAGCACCAGTTTGGGATTCATGGGAGGCACCTGTGATACAAGCCCCATGCTAAGAAAGGCAGGACCAAATTTTCCATGAGATCAAGGTTTTCCCATGGACTTGTGGAAGTTGGACAACACCCTCAGTGACTGCAGGGCCTCCAGCTCAGGGAGTCTGGAAGGGGAAAGTCTTATTTATGGCAGAGGGTTGGAACTATGTGATCTTTAAGGTCCTTTCCAACCCAAACCATCCTGAGATGTCTGGTGTTTCAAAATTCCAGGTTATCCAGTGCTTGGGAGTTAGGTGAGAGTCTTCCCTAGGACTGCCAGGTTTGCTCTCACAACTCCCAGTCCAGGAGCTCTCCAAGAGCAGGAACTATGACTTGGAAAGGAAAACCCCATTTTTAATTCCATACCCAAACCTCACCTTTTCTGCATGGAGTTTCCTTTGTTCATGAGGCAATGTGGAGGCTTTATCTGTGGAAAGAGGATAACTTGGGCTGAGAAGCTCAGGAGTGAGCAGGGACACAAACACTGCATAGCTGGATTTAGGGAATACCAAGAGCAGCATCTACTGCTTCCAAGATCACCATCAAGACAAAGGCAAAATCATGAAACTATCAGCTCCTGATAAAGGGCTTCAGGCAGGAGAAGAGGAGTTTGTAGAGTTTTCCCAACTGGCTCTCATGCCTGCACCTCTGGAATAGTGGCAGAGCTCAGGTGTGTTACCTTTCATTTCTTTCAGCTTTGAGAAGAGCCTTTCAAAGTTCTCCAGGTCCCCATCCCTCGTGGTCAGGCTGGCCAACTCCTGGATGTCCATATCCAGCATGGGATCTGAAACACAGGTTAGCTGAAGGTAAATGATTCTGGTTTGTCAGCATAAGACCAGGAATTTAACAGCTGCAAATCCCATTTAAAAATTCCAGCTCCATAGGAAGGAAAGAAACATTTACTGACTGTTCATACAAAGAGCTCATGGCATTGTTACAGTGGGGATTAATGTTATGGAAGCAATTGTTCCCTGTGAGGTGCTGAGGCACTGGCACAGTAGCCCAGAGCAGCTGTGGCTGCTCCATCCCTGGGAGTGTTCCAGGCCAGGTTGGATGGGGCTTGGAGCAACCTGGGCTGGTGGGAGGTGTCCCTGCCCATGGCAGGGAGTGGGATGAGATGAGATTTAAGGTCCCTTCCAACCCAAACCATTCCAGGATTCTATGACATATTACATTGCAGAAGTGTCTTTGAATTCATCCAATATTTAAAGTTTCCTGCTTTCCAGAATGATCTGTCTAGGAACAGCTATGGAATAAATCAGAGACTGTGCTGAGACCACAACTAACACCAGCCAACCTTCAGACTCCATGTATCACTTGTAGCAAGGTCCCATCTCCTGGAATGCTGCAATTATTTAAGGACCTCTCCTGGCTCTGACAAGTGCATTTATCCCACACTTTTCATGGAGCAGAAGCCACTGGCTGTGTGGGCCCATCCCAGCCAGATGTGTCTGCTCCAGGCAGTGCAAGGGCTCACCTGTAGTGTTGTCAAGCTGGTTTGTTCCAGCTCCATCCTCTGTGCTGTCTGACTGGGATTCTTCTCTTTCTCCTGGGGATGGGTTGGACTGTCAGGAAACAAAAGGTATTTGAGGATCCAACAGTGCACCTAAAAACAGCAGCAGCCAATCCAGTGCTCCCTGTTTCCACTTCAGAACCTAACACTTCATCTTAAACTGTTACTCCCCAACCTGTACCAGGACAATCCACTTCTGCACCACTAGACAGGCACAGCATGGAGGGTTTCAGGACAGGTTTGTTGTTGATTGTGAAATAACACTGTGAAATTATAGTTTTGCTCTTGGATAGTAATAAAACCCATCTAGAATAGAGCTCTTAGGGATCTTCCCTTGGCTCTGTGGGGTAAAACATTTACCCAGTGGGGAGGTCACAGCCACCATCCAGGGGTGGCACAGTGAAAAGCAACAGGAGTGAGAGTCTGAGCAAAGAACAGGAAAGAGGAATTACTGTTTACTTCTGTCTCTTGGGTCTCTTCTGAGCCAACAGTGCAGTTCGCCCCTGCCAAGGTGCTGAGGAGCCCAAAGCCCTGGGTCCTGTCTGGAATGAAGCAGAGGGGCAATGTTACTACAAAGAACAGGAGCTGGACAGGTGGGAGAGTCAGGAAACACACAGCACCCTGGAAAACTGTCAGTGCACTGAGAATGTATTTTAAGCAGAAATGTTACATATTCTCTCAGTTTTTAAACTAGATTAGCAATATTTGCTGCTAAATATTCCCCACAGGACAGATGTGAGAGCCACAAGAGAGGGGGGAGCTTTTTAACCCTGCTTTGAAGTCTCTGCTCTGTTAGGATTTGAGCGGGCAAATGTCTCCTGATTCCAAACAAGGCAGTTGGCAAAATCCAGCAGCAGCATTCCTGGAGCAGGAATTTACCCTCCATGGGAAGCAACACCGAGTTAGGGGTTGGATAGAGGAAATGCAACAAGTGCCTTTGCTAACACACGAATTGCTGAACAGTAATGGCAAAGACAACATTTAAATATCCAACTTGGAATTCCTGGCAGGACTTAACCATCAAGTTCAGTGTTTCTTCTCCCTGTGAAGTGCTTTGGGCTTCCCACAGCTGCTGACTCCTGCATGTTTCAATGGTATGTTAAAATCCAACCCAAAGGTGAACCCAAAGCTAAACCTAAAGAGTTGTCTAAGACATCAGATGTGGCAGAGTCTGTTTCAATGAAGTGAGTTGTATTTTTAAACTGGTTTATATAAATTGTATGTGTAACACGTGATTATATGAGCTGTTTTTACCAAGCCATGCTTTTCTAGGTCATCATTTACTACTTGATGCAAACTGGCCTTGCACCGAGGAGTAAATATTTGCAGTTCCACAAGGGACTCGGGAGATTTTCCTGCAAATCTCAGTATTTTAGTCAACTAGGAGTGAACTAATGTGGAGTTGTTGTACTAGAAATAGGCAGGAAACAATGACTTGTGCCAGAAGAAAGATTTAATATTACTTCTTAAAAAAAAAAAGTTTCTAAATGATTACACTCATGACTAAGCTCTAGACTCAACTGTGGAGCTGATGTCATGTTGATGCACTGTCCAAATTTCCTGGCCATGTATCCCAAATCTCACTTGGAGGGGTTGGATGTGTAACTAACCCATCCAGTAAACATATCTCCATTAGAAAATTCCCAAACCTCATTCTCTCAGTGCTCCTCAGCTGATGTGTGTTCTGCCCCAATCCCTTCTCCTCTCAGCCACCCCCAGCAGGTATTTGGGGCTCTGTTCAGCCACTTTTATGGACTTCACAGACCACTGGCCAAAGGCTTGGGAAGAAGTGAATCAGAGGAGCTGCACAAATTCCCTGAAAACTATTCAGCTGCCTGTAAAGTCTGCCAGCTCAATTAACAGGGATTGAGGGATAAAATACTGGGACTTGCATCCCAAAGCAAAGCAGCTTCCCCAGGTTTCACTGGGCTGAGGGAAGAGCTGTGAAGAAGGCCATGGAGCCAATTTCTGAGTCATCTCCAGCGAGGCTGGACACTGCAGGCCAGAATGTACTGGAGAGGGAACATTCCCACATTGGCAGAGGGGTGGATGGAGTGAGCTAATCATGGACCTTGTTCATCTCTGGGATTAGGGTTTGTCCTCTACAGCAAAATGGCAGTGGCTGAATCCCCTGACACACACAGACCCTCAGCCAGTGTAATCACTAACGTCATCCCTTCAGAAACACCTGCAATGTCCAGCAGGGATCTCTGAACAGCAGCTATTTGTTCCTGGACCCGTGGTTAGGGAGGTGGCAGACACAACACTTGGTTGCAGGCACACCCTTGAGAAAAACCTTCCTATAAACCCTTTTTATTGGAGCTAAAAGTTGTTTCAACTTCTGGGTGCAAGTCAGGAAGTGGCTGAAGCCTTACACAGTGTTCTTAGGGCATCCAAGCCAAAAATGAGCTCATCCAACTGATTGGAATACTTGATGGCTCCATTATGATGGAACTGGGCTGTGGCTGCCCCATCCCTGGAAGGGCTACCAGTGCTATAAGCACTTGCTACTACACATTTACTACTACCACAACTATCTTATGCCCTCTGAACAACCTTCCTGTGGAACACAAGTGCACAGCTCCTAAAGCACCAGCAGTTACAGGTAACTCGGTGCAAAAGCTCAGGTTTGAGTTACATGGCAGCAGGTTTCCAGGATCTGGAGGAAGCTTCAAAGAAAAGATATGTTACAGGTTGTAAAGAGTTTTGTTTTGAGTGAAATGAGCTCAACAATTTCCCTTTGAAGGCAGAGTCAGGCTGCAACACCTTCCAAATATAGCAACTTCCTGAGGGGTTTGTGGTGACATACATCGATGCCGTGTGGGGTTTGCGCTGCGGAGACACAAACTCTGGATTTTCAAGGACTCTGACCTTTACAGAACACTCCAGTGATGTGTAGGAATTTCCCCCCGTGAGCATGTGACTAAATTCTGCTCCTCTGTAATGTGGCATCTGCCAAAGACAGAAAATGTGCTGCTAAGAGTTTTAGCATTAGTGAGCTAACTTTACACCATCTGACATGGTGACCTGGTTCTCTGCAATGGGTGCACTGTCAGACCCACCCAAACCTCACTGTGATGAGGGATGAGAAACACTCCCAAAGCTACATTAAAAACCACACCATATTATCAGCTTAGCAGCTCTCAGCCTGGTTTTCTGAGTCCCAGCAACCACCTCACAGACACAGGGACTAACAGCAGCCTCTCAGCACTGTAAATCATTTCACAGGTAAAAGTCACAGGAAAGAAGAAGCCACAGCAGCTGGAATGGTTCACCAGGGAGCAAACAGCCATTGGAAGGCTGCTGGTGGGATCAGGCTTTGTGAAGCAAGAACAGTGAGGCCAAGCACTCCCCAAGAGCTCAGTCTTCCTCCATTTCCTGCAGCAGTTCGTGTTATTAGAAAGGTAATTAAAGGTTTTCAAGTAAATGGAAGTATCTACATTGCTGCCACAGCATCTCCTTTTCTAATGAGCCTAATCCTAGAGGGATTTCCCCCAAATTCTAACTCTCCTAATCAGTTTACTGCAGGAATTATCTGGGGGTGCCCAATTTTTGCAGTGTTCATGTGCTCAAGCAGAGGTTTCTGTAGGGCAAATTGGCCTTGCAATGCACTTGGTACATCCTTCAATGTTTGACATCAGTTCTTTGCCAGATCTCATCTCTGCACTTGCTAGTTTCAACTCTGTTTCAAAAAGTACAAAAACTCCTGTAACAAATTTGGAATTTCAACCTTCTACACCAAATCTGTATTAGCTGTTAGACCAAGCTGATAATGACAAGCTATTGCCTGGTGGAATAAGCTTTCATTTTTCACTGAGACTTCAAGAATTAAATATTTAACTTAGTTATTGGTAGATACCAAGTTAAAGTGCAGAGGGAACAGGAGCAGATGCTGACACAGGAATAAATCTTTACACAGAAATCCATCCCTGTGAGGTGCTGAGGCACTGGCACAGTAGCCCAGAGCAGCTGTGGCTGCTCCATCCCTGGGAGTGTTCCAGGCCAGGTTGGATGGGGCTTGGAGCAACCTGGACTGGTGGGAGGTGTCCCTGCCCATGGCAGGGAGTGGGATGAGATGAGATTTAAGGTCCCTTCCAACCCAAATCATTTCGGACTCTATGACAAATCTCACCCACTGCCTGTGAGTTTCTCTGTACATACCACTCTTCATCACCACGTTGGACCACACGTTGGCATTCAAGGCTTGGACAATCCGTTTGACTCCAGTGGACTCTGGGAAGTCATCTAAACAAAAACCAAACACATTGACTCCTAAAGATGAGCCCAAAGCCCAGAACAGGCCCTAAAGCAAGCAGGAGTGTGGCTGAATGCTCCTTCTATCTTCTCACCCTCAATATAAACTGCTGCTTCTGGTAGGAAACACAGATTTCTCACCTTTGCTTCATGAGAGGCCAAAGCAATGCCAATTAATGCCTTACTTCTCCATCTGAGCTTCAAGGGGTTATGAACTGTGAACCCTCAGCCTTCTGGAGAGATCTAAATTCTGGAAGGCAGGAGGGCTCTGCAGAGAGACCTGGATAGGCTGGAGAGGGGCTGATTCCAATGCAATGAGATTGAACAAGGCCAAGTGCTGGTCCTGC